CATAGACATTCATGGACATTCATGGACATTGGTCATCCCTATATGGACCAATACAAAAACTACATTGGATTGACTTGTATAGAGACTGGTCACACATCGACCTTGGTGGCTGCTCAATCATTTTCTCAATGTCTGTTTTCAGAGGCTTGTATTCAATCTCATGCTACTGTATAGTCATCATTTTCACTGCTTGGCAATATATTCAAAGCGTTTTAATTGCCTAATCAAAATTGTAATTCACTCCTAATGAAAATAAGTATTATCCAACGCCCTAAAGTGCCATTGTGCCCTTGGGCAGATCTAGGTGGTCCATTACCCAACGTTTGCTCTAAATTAAAAACGTGAGCGACACATATTAAAGAGGTTCAGTGGCATTTCCCAGGTTACGGCATGCTGTGATCTGATTGGACGAGAGCAGAAGTATGTCTCTGTAATTATGGCTGTCTTTCACAAGATCAATTGCTCACGTGTCAATTATACTAAATGCTTTCTTCAGACAAAGCACGAGCATTTGTATGGGGCTCATTAAACCCACTCTTAGACATTCAATGGTATATTTTTATTATTATTTTTAAACCATGGTCAGTGAGGATTCCAATGTAAACTACTCTCATGTTGAATTACAGGTTGGTCAGTTAATTATAAAGTTACCTTAAACATCCTTCCTCCAACGACCATCATGTGGGAGAGGGAGACAGGCAGAAGTCAGTCCGCTTTGTGTTCTGCTAAAAAGCTGGATTCTGGTCTTTGCAGGATTTTCCTTAAACTCAAACATGGAGCAGATGTTGGACCGTGGTGTCTGAAGGAGCCAGCCACATGGTCCAGCTAGAAACGAGTACTGTTGCTCCATCACAAACAAGGACAACCACCGGTCAACAGTTGCAAGATCTGCTCCATACCACACAGCTGTTGGCTTGACAAACTTAATAATTCAAGCAAATCAGGTCAATAAAGGCTTTAAAAGTTGCTCCCAGGCCTCAAACCGACCATCCACTCATTGACATCAAAATCACCCTTATTACTTACCATTTATCCTATACTCAGCGTTTTGATTTTATTCTTGACAATTTGCATATTTTCATATCTAAACTATAGTGAATATATCGCATTAAATATACAAAACTATCTTTGTCTGAAAGTGATATTTGTGCCTATTGTATTCCACAAATAGTCACTAATTTGTAGAAGAATTTACACCTTCAGATCTCATTGGAAGGAATTGGAATTTTGGATAATTAACTAGTTTATTTGTATTGACCTTTATTTATCAAGGAAAGTCCCACAGATATTTCAGAATCTCTTCTTCAGTAGTAGGAGTGAGTAGTGGAGTGTACATACGTATATATTCACTGGTGCCCAAAATTAAAGCTTGGCCAACGGATGACTGAATAAGCCAAAATATCATTGTCATTTTTTTGAGTAATTTTGATGTCAAACTGGTAAATAACATAGCTTTAGAAATAGTCAATTGTTTATATTTTTCTACATATTTATTTTCAATATGTTTTATTTGCTTGTCTTTATTTTACTTTATACAATAAAAAAATGTCTCGTTATGTTGTATGTACTATGGATAAAAGTGTGAGCTAAAGAAGAAGACACAAAAAAGAACCATATTTTTCAGATTATGAATCAGTTTTTGTCATGGCCAGATTTATAGTCTGGAGCGAAATTAAAATGTTATATTTAGTTGTTCAGAAGTTCAAATAAATGTCCTCCAAAAATTCTCTAGTGCGACTTATACATATTATTATGCATTTTTGGCTGGTGCGATGTATACTGCGGAGTGATTTATAATCTAAAAAATATGGTAATAAAAAATTAAAGCTATCATCAATTTAAGTATTTAGGATTATTTGGTCCAGTTCTTTGATATCAAACCAATATCTTAGGTAAAATAACAACTTCAAACCTCTACATAAATATTTGTGTTGAATCTAAATGAGCTGTGTCTTGTTTCATAACCTAATATTATGAAAAGCACCTATTTCTGCTGTTTACATAACAATAAGACGAAGTGCAGGACCATCTCAAAACCTCCCACTTTTCCCAACAGCAAAAACCAACCGAAACATCTCTGCAGTGTGTGTCGAGATGTAGAATGAAGAAAGAAAAGAAAAACCAAGACACGGTTATTATTAAACTATAGATTTGACAGCCTTATTTTACAATATTGAGGACAGACAGAAGTGCACAGGAGGCATTTTGTTCCAAGGATTTTCAGGCTCAACATTTGGAGACAAAAGACGAGAAGCAAAAAGTCCCTTCGTCAATATTTCATGACGGAAATCAAAATAACATAATTCAAACAGGAAACATTTCTCTCACAATAGTTCAGCTGGGACGTAATCAAAATGTGGTTTTGTAGCAGGATCTTTTATTATCAGGAAATGCTGCCAATGGCTATGGAACTGTTTGTCTTTTATTGCCGTTTGGTTATTCAAGCTTCTTTTCTTCTCAATTCAAAAACGTCAATAAGAAGAAATAATAGTGTAATCAGCTTTGCAAAATACAGCAATTGTTTAACATGTGATTTGATATAACTGGAAATACATATTTAATCAAGCATCGATTGTCAGTGTCCTTCAAGAATTGAGTTTAGAGGAGCAAAAGTATTGGCAGCATTTTTAAGTACAAAGCTCTGTTTACACCAGCTCTACTCTACTCTACTCTACTCTACTCTACTCTACTCTACTCTACTCTACTCTACTCTACTCTACTCTACTCTACTCTACTCTACTCTACTCTACTCTACTCTACTCTACTCTACTCTACTCTACTCTACTCTACTCTACTCTACTCCACTCCTCTGCTAACACCCTTGTACAAAGAAGCCCAATAGGAAAGTGCTCATGGGTCCCTCTGGTTCCTATTAACTTACTGAGCTAGGGGAGTTTACTTTTTCATGTAACTGTTTTTTTTCACCAAAAATCCATGGTTTAGCACTTTCTGTGATCCTGGTGTCGATATTGTGATATTGTTTTTGTCAATCCAGATATGAGCCATTTAAGGACTGACCGATAAGTTGCCTTTCTTTGAGGTGAAACTCCAGCTTGCCTTAGCAACCGTCTTGGCAACCCATCCGCCCCTGTTATGGCAAAGGCTCAGCATCTTCCACATAAGGGGCTAACACTCTCGGTCAGTCCACTCCTAGTATACCATCTATGGTTCTATCCAGGTGGAGCTGGTGCCACTGTTCTAACTGTCAGCGTTTGGCCAATGGAGTGCCTCACTAAAATCTTGGTATTTTGTAAATATTCACTTGTTGCTATTTCTTTATTCCATCCATCCATCCATCCATTTTCTACCCTTTAATCCATTTCTGGGTCAGGGGGGTGGCAGTCAGAGATGCCACCCAAGTCTCATAGCACCAGCCCCTCACTGACCCTCTGCAGGTGGTGAGTCCACAGGAGGACGGCTGCTCTCTGAGTGTGAGCATAGCCTTGATCTTTCAGTGGGGGCTTTGGGCAAAGTGGGGTTAAATGTCTTGCCCAAGGACACAACGACAGCAGTCATCAGTGGGAGTCGGTGGAGAAGGTGCAGAGGTGGGAATTGAACCCACGACCTTCTGGCCTTAAGGCCAATGCTCTACCAACTGAGCTACTGTCGCCCTATTTCTTTATTCAAATTTGCATTTAAGAGGGCTAAAGTTTTGGTTAGGGATAAGGTAAGGGTTATAGAACTGTTAATTCGGTTAAGGGTAGGGTTGGGGATATGGCATGGGTTGGTTGCAGTGTGACGAAATACCAAGATTTTAGGGAATACCGCTACTTGGAGGCATGCTTACCCAGCAATTTCTCTGGATCTTGGTTTGTTGTGGGTGGGTTGCTAGGATACCAGATCCTAAAGCTTAATGGAAACGCAACCAGAAAGAATGTAAGCCGAGTAGAGTAGAGTCGGGCAAAGTAGGGCTGGTGGAAACAAGGCTTTGGATGATAGATCAAGACCAATACATTACCTAGAGCCTGCTGACATAACCACATGTTTGATGATTCCCGGCTTGATTTTAATTTGACATTGATTTGCAAAACACTCACAGTTCCCTTCAAAACTCCTTTTGGTATATACTTTTGTACAGTGATAGAAACAGCAGGTTAGAGAGATTCAAAACTGGTTCAGAGGCACCGAAATAAATATAACATAAAAACGTCCAAAAAATAATAAAACGCAATTTTTTTTCTCAAAGTCTTTGTTCAACTTCTCTCAGAGAGCAGCACCACATTCCCGTCGTCCAAACTCAGACCACCACCACAAATGGATTGATTTCACACAACTACACAATCCCACACAAAGTTTATACACCACTCACAGGACTCATTGCTCTATCATTTTTGGATGGCTAGTCTATTTTACTAAACATGATTAACAAAAAGAAAATTGCAATCCCCCACAACAATAGTGATTTCTGTAGCGTCTTATATCTCTATGATAACTTGACGATATATCTGCTTTTTTAAATTATGGCAAAACACTCCAGATTTCTTGCCAAGTAGAAATAGCTCCTACTTACAGGCACTTGGTGTGATGGCCATTTTATATTTGTATCTATACATATATTCATATTATGTGCATATAATTATTTATTAACACACCTGAGATTGACAAGGGAAAAAAAGGGGGCTGCAAGAAAGGATGAAACTAGTTCTTCAAAGTCCAAAGCCCTTGTATAGACCCCTTGTTAAGAGAATTTACCAAAAGACAAGCCATAAACTAACCCGCCACCATCATGAATAGTACGTATCTGATGTCAGTAGCCATTTTGAATCCTGCTCAACTCCCCCACTGAAAAAAAAAGTCTTCTTCCCTTTATAGAATAGTGTTAATAGCAGCCGCAGTCATAAGAAGTCGCCACTAGGGGGAGCAGTGCCACCATTTCGTATGAAGTTTAGCTATAAGAAAAGCAGGGCGCGTTCACATTGCCACAAACTGTGAAGTGGACTGTGAGAACCAGAGTCCGCTTCAGTTGGACCAAGTGTGACCGGGACCTGGTTAGTGTCTGGTTAGTTGTCCACGCCGAGTTTGGAAAGGCCCTGTCTGAATTCGTGCAGCTCGTCGATCTTTCCGTCCAGGATGTCCATGAACTTCTTGAGCTCTCCCTTCATGTTGCCCTGTTTCTGGCGGCTCTCGTCGATATCCAGCGACAGTCCGCTTATCCGGCCCTCCAGCTCCTGGTTCTTCACCTCTGCCGCCTAAAACAAAGAAGAAAACTAGGTTAAAAGAGATAAAATATAATCAAGATCAATCCAGGACTTTAAGATAGGGATGTTTTCAGGTATCGGAATCGGCAAGTACTTGGATTAACGTTATCAGCAAAAGGATTTAGTCAGATTAACAACAAAATCGTAGTAATGTGTTTTAATTATGTTTCTTTTCTAAATTAGTTTCAACCTTTTTATGAGGTCTAATTTAGCTCTGGTGACTAACGAGACACAATTGTATCTTAAAGTCTTAAAGTCCATGGCCCCCACTTCAACATTCTGTATTTACACAAAGTGAGCAATCAACCAAGTTCTTCTGTTCATCATTGACAAAAAGTTAAATTAACAGCATTTTACTTTGAAAAATATACACATTTACCACTAGAACTTTGGATTTAGGCTTAGGGTTGGACTCTTCTGTATTGTTATGTAGTTTATCCATTTAAATTATATTATATACTTTTAATAATCTTGTGAAAAATGCAACTCTCATAATTCTATTGGTTTGAATAAGAGCAGTCAAAATGACAGCTCTGGGAATCGTAGAGAGACGTAAACACATATGTGGGTCACTTATTGTAAGCAAAGTTGCATAATTTTCTGGTTGATTTGATGTTTTTCAGTTTGTGGCTCAGGCTTAAAGCACAGAATAAAAAGCAGGCAGTGTTTCGAGATTCAAAACTCGACATTCATTAATAAAAAGGTCACTTGTATATCCTCACAATAGTGGCCTTAATTATTGAGGTGCTTCTTTTAATCTTGCATTTGAGCTGGTTTTGCATAATTCATATCATTGACACTGTGCCTGCAGGAGACCGTCTCAGCCTCCTCGCTCTCAGCTAACCTTTACAGAAGCGTTCGTTTTGATATTTGAGAGAAGTATGGTGACGCCAGCGCTCGGTCAGTCCAGAGTACGGTCTAAGAGTGTGTACTTTTAGTGCTTTGTGTTTCCTGTCTCTTATGTACTTGGTAATGTTGTACAACAGGGGTGTCCAAACATTTTAGTAAGCGGGCCACTTCAGTTCACCAGGCTAATCCAGGGGCCGACAAAAACTGTCTTGACTGGCATCGGGCTGTTCTGAGCTTTAAAATGATCGATAAACAGAGCTGAAGTTGGCTGAATGACACATGTTTACCAGCTCACTAGTAATATTAGCATTATTAACGGAAGGGAAACAATCAATACCACATCAGTAAAAGTACATACAAAAAAGTCAACGACTGAAATCCAGACGTACTGGGCTTTAGAACAAGGTTCTGAGCTGAAGTTGGATGGATGACACGGTGAACTAGTGTTTATGATCTCAAAGACTATTTTGGGTTAGCAAGGCAGAGGGCCACAAAAAATAACACTGAGGGGTTTGGACATGCCTGTTGTACAAGTACTCCAAGGAAAATAAATAAATGATGACTGTGATAAGATTCTATTGACTTTATTGACTCACCGACCAAGTCAAAGCCTGGTCTGGGTATGGTCTGGGTATGGTCTGGGTATGGTCTGGGTATGGTCTGGGTATGGTCTGGGTATGGGTCTGGTTCTGCAGTATGTAATGTAACACAAGGGACAACGTGCTTAGCTTGTATTGAATATAAAGAAATGTAGAATCAATTTCGTCTTTTCAAAGGCAGTCAAAGTTGTCATGGCAACGTGTAGTATGTGTGAGACGCAGCAACAGAAGTGACGGGGTTTAAAACGGGAACCTCCAGCTGACGCCAGAACACGATTCCGGAGCCGCTGTGTATAAATAGAGGCCACAACACACACACACACACAAACACATGCATACATACTTTTAAAAACTACAACATGCCAGTACAGGGACTACTGGATGTGACTCTTAATTTAAATATTCTTTGGACAATTGATAAAATACAACGGTCAATCTCCTGGGATGTGAACGATTAAAATGAAGGTTGCATCCTGATTATTTAGAATCAAACATTTACAAATCCAAACTCTTAAATTGAGCCCGTCAAATAATCAATACTTTTTCTGGGCACCCGGGAAAAGCCATGTTCCAGCTTCTTCCCTCTGGCAGAAGATACTGTACTGTATGCTGAGATACAGGACTTCTCAATATGGAAACAGCTTCTTTCCACAAGTCAAATAGACTTTTGAGCAATATTCTACTTTTCAGAGTCTAACATTTTCCAGATTCTCGCAGCCCTAAAGCCCCGTTTTAGGAAGTCATGTATTAATCCAAGAGCTGCATCTACAGTATCTGCATGTGCGTCATACATCAGTTTGTAGGGGTCCTCCATAGACTTACATTGACATCTGCTCGACGTCTGAAATTATGTAAATTATGTAATGAATGAACGCTTGTGAACGCTACTGTGATTTATTAACGTTTTCCATTCAATATTGATGCCGGAGAGTGCGGATTTTAAGACGTCCAGTAGTATTAACATGAGAGTGAACTCATACATAAACCGCTGAATTAATCAGAGCATCAGAAGCACTTCAGAACATGTTTGTCTTTAAGTGCAGCCGAGGGTGGCATTGGGATAAGAGCAGGCCAGAGGATTTGTTAATTTTTTGATCTAATATCTGTGAAATCTCACTCAGATATTCCACCTCCATCAATTCTACTCATGACAGACATTTCCAACCCTTGAATGTTTACTTCTTGAAGAAAGTAAAGTCAATTTTACTTTTATTTTTGATTTTCTAAGGTGTAGGAGCGGAATTAAAACAAGTAAAATGTTTTATGTTATTCTTTAATCCCTACTTTTTAAAGTATACGCCTCTATCAAATGGTTGAGCTGCAGATTTATAGTAAAAGTGCCTAAAACTAAGTGATAGAGATTCCCCAAGAATCTGAAGAAGATTTCTGTTCCAAGCCTGCTTCAAGTAGGGATGTCGGTTTTTAGGAGCAGTACGAGTCCTCACAGCAGGAGGGGGAGAGCTGAAGCGTTGGATCCAGTTTTACTTTCATATCAGAATAATAGTGGAAAAGCAGTATATTTGGAAGAGCTGTGTTCAATTTAAATTCACATACAGTATATAAACTGTATAATCTGTGAAAAAACACTATAAAAATACATCAAACAGTTCGAGCACAGGAAATGCAATAATAACAAACACACACAGGAGCTGAACTCGACTTGCCTGTCCCGCAGCGGCGTAACTGCGCTCCAACTCCCACCAAAAAGGAGCACCGTGGACCATCGCGCCTCAAGCCACCTCCGGGCTTCCCGGGACCGATCCCCGCTCCCTGCTCCCGTGTGTGGGAAAGACTGGAGTGTGTGCGCCCGCTCTCCGTGCGTGAGGAAGACTGAAGTGTTTGACCGCCTGACCCAAACGGGTGGAAAGCATCTTCACCTCTGGGACTTGGCAGTAACAGTAAGACTTGCTGGAGTTGTAAGTAAGTAAGTAAGTAAGTTTTTATTTATATACCGCCTTTTCACTGCAGATCTGAGTCTCAAAGCGGTTTACAATTGTTAATTTTGGGCATTTGTCTCTCACTCCACACAGAGATGGGAGCGGGGTCGCCAGTACAGGAGGCGCATGCCAGAACTATTGGACATATTTTTAGTGGTAGGGGAAACCGGAGTACCCGGAGGAAACCTACGCAGACACGGGGAGAACAGGCAAACTCCACTCAGAAAGGCCCTGGTCCGACCGGGATTCGAACCCAGGACCTTCTTGCTGAGAGGCGAGAGTGCTATCCACTCAGCCACCGTGCCGCCCAGTTGTATTGTGTGTGATGGTGATGTGTTTCTGACATTCCTGTTCATGTGACTTATACTTGTGTGATCCCTCCCGGTTACCGTTCCCGTTTCTATATGTAGTTAAAAAAAAACCACGCTAACTTTTAAGAGTCGTCAGCGTTCTTTGTATAATTCATGATATCCCTGGCCGATATAGAACTCAAGACCTATCAGATTATGAGAATGATCGAGGCAGAATGGACTAGTTCAATTGCAACTTCTTGCTGATGCCCCTCTTACTTAAATTTAGATCCATTCAACCCGGAGTAGGCGAGGCTTAGGACTACGTTTGCAACGTTTAATACCGACACAAACTGGTACCCACATAGTCGACGAAGCCGCTTTCGGAGGGAAGCGCAAAACTGGCCGTTCCCACCGGAACAGCCCCAGACCCTAAGACCCAGTCTACCTGCCTTAAAGCTGCACTAACTGACTTTGGGATTTTGAAGCCGCGGACTCGCTGGCCTCGCTCTTTCTGCTCCCCTCCCCGCACCCACACACAGTGTTGAGACGGAGCTAGCCTCTCCCAATATGGATAATACATGGATATGGATTTTCACGTGGATGGCGTGACCATAGAACGATAGAACCGGGAAGCGCGGAGGAACGGGACTTTCTTTTGGATGGCTGTTTCGCTGTGTAAGCAGTAACCGGTGACGAAGACGAGAAAGTTTCAGGTTAGCTCCGCCGCTTGTTGTGCTAACTCAGCCGTCTATGCTAACAGACCTGGAGATTTCTCACGAAAGTGGGGGCTAGTGGTTCGCTGTGATTGGTCACAATCTGCGACCCGAAACACATTCTCTTCCTTGTTTCATCAAAACTCGATCGAAAATATAATGTCAGGCCAGCACAAATCTGCGCTACTTTCTCTTCAAAAGGACGTATATCCTAATGCACTACATGGATATGGATAGCACTTTCGTAATTAATACGAAAATAAAGTCAGTTAGTGCAGCTTTAAAGGGGACAGGCTGCGGCTTACAGACGCTGCCTCACCTGTGCTTGTGTCTGCTCATCAAAATCCTGAGATTAAAACCTCAGGTACTACGTGGCTATAATTAAAGTGGCAACATCTCGTAGGCCTGCGAGCGTACCACAGTCGGAGAAGTCGCTACGTCTCAGTAGGTACGAAAGTGCCTGAGTAGGAAAGTGCAAAACAAACTGTTCCTACTAGAACAGCCCCTCCCCTAAAAAAAAAAAAAGGATTTAGATGCTGCGTACTAACGTTGCGTGCCAACGCTGCGTGCTAACGGCGCGTGCTAACGCCGCGTCCCTACTTGCTGCGTGATATCACGCTGCGTGATAACGCTGCGTGATAACGCTGCGTGATAACGCTGCGTGCTAACGCTGCGTACTGACGCTAACACTTGCTGCGTGCTAACGCTGCGTGCTAACACTTGCTGCGTGCTAACGCTGCGTGCCAACGCTGCGTGCCAACGCTGTGTGCTAACGCTAACGCCGCGTCCCTACTTGCTACCGCTAACGCTGCGTGCCAACGCTGTGTGCTAACGCTGCGTACTAACGCTAACGCCGCGTCCCTACTTGCTAGTTCAATTGCAACTTCTTGCTGGTGCCCCTCTTACTTAAATTTAGATCCATTCAACCCGGAGTAGGCGAGGCTTAGGACTACGTTTGCGACGTTTAATACCGACACAAACTGGTACAAAGCCTCCCCTCTCCACATTCACTTTCTTACCCTAAATACTGTATACTAAAGATTTTTTTTTTTTTTTAATTTCTTGACGTGAGTCTTTCTAAACTTACAGGATAAAAATCTCAGAAATATCATAATCGATTTCATGTGGCACTAGTCGAGATTTTTCTTTCTCATGAATCTATTTATTTAAAACTAATAAAGAAGAATGAAAGATTGTAATTTACATATTATACAAACATACAACTCCTGCTCCAAGCCCCATATGGAGTGGTTAAGAGTTCAATCTCTCAAGCTCCCACCCATACACCTACATTCACCTCATACAGTTTGATACTTACATACATGATTTCTATTTTATTTCATGGATTTTCACAAATAAAGATCTTAAAATAATAATACACAATTGACCACTATTGTGTTTTCCTTTTACATTTGTTGAAACCAATGTGCGATCCTAAAGTAAGACCATTTAAAAACAGCTCTTGTGGCTCTGGAAAACAACATGAAATAAATCTGCCCAGTGAGAAGCCGGTTTAAAAACATTATATAACAGACTACAAACCAAACTGTGACCAGAGGCATCGCTTTCATTTCATTCTTTTTATTAGCCTTCCCACTGTGGGCGATGTGCATATTTATTTGTCCCCTGCACTCCAGTTGCCGCTTTTATCGTCACAAACATCACTGGGCTAATAAGCTTGGACAAAGAGCTGCGGGGCTGGTGCGTTTCCACTGACCACTGCAGAGAAAACCTTTTCAAAGAGCAAAGAATCGGCACAAATAATACGCTCAATGGGAATCCACGTGTTGTTTTTTGTCACTCTGGGATTTGAAAAAAAAAAGTGCCTTGTGTAAACTTTCTATGGACACATTTGAAACGCTGAACATGCTCCTGGTGTTTTCCTTTTGTAATCGCGATGAAATAGTAACTAACCACTTACAGAGCTTCTCTTTCCCCTGAAGTTGTCTTTCTCGTTGCTAAGCAGAAAGTTGCATCCAGGGATCAACCTCGTGGCACTCCGGTTGCTATGAGACAAAACTGATTCCCGACATAAAACCTGGACTCGCTGATGTCACCCATAGTGTTTGACTTGTCGTGGAGGAAGTCTAGTCGAGCTAACTCAATCTGCAGGAATCTGGAGCCAAATTTGTGGGTAGTAACAGCATAGTAACCAAAGAGCCAATGAGCTGCGCTGCTATTCTGTTCCTGCTTTTAAAAATAATATAACCTTTATTCGTCCCACAGCTCCTTTATAGCTCCTTCGTAGTTTCTTAATCATGTTTTTAAGAATTTTATATGTGCCTCACTGTGTGCTATTTTGTTTTTCTATCATTTTTGTCTGTGTGCTCGTGCCCGTGGTGTCTCCTGTTTGTATTCTGATTCTGATTCTGATGTTTCAGCGCACATTCAGGACAGTAGTAAGAGCACACAGGGAGATTGCGCTATTTGCTAGCTAAAGCCAAACTTGGGAATATAAGGCACCTGATTGGTCAGTTCTTAGGGGTCATATCTGGATATAGAGACATGATCGAACTAAAACTACCAGAATCACAGTGTTTTTAAACTACAGATTTTTAAGACGAAATTGTTGACTGTGACACAATCGTTTACAGAGCAAGGAGTTTACCTAAATGTAAGTCAATGAAGCCAAATTAATTAAATTATACAAATCCTAGTCCTAATGTTAATATGTAAGTCTTTTTAAAAAAATCAGCTGGACTTCCCAAACAAAAGCTGATTTGCACGAATGAGCAATTTTTTCAGTCTCGATGGTAAATCAATCTTGGATGAAAAAAAACAATCAAGCAGTTGGAATGGAAATCCTGCTCTTTTCCAACTCACATGAAGACCCATGAGTCGTCGCTGTGGTTACCTCAGATGAGTCAGAGCGCCGTCACGTGTGCGCTGGGACCGGTCACTACAACATCCTCTACAGTATGTTCCCAGAAGCAGTTTGGTACCTGTAGTTTTGTGGTGATGGTCTCGCACTCCGCCATCAGCTGTGGGATGATCTCCGCCTGCTTCCTAAGGTTTTCCAGCTCCTGAAAATGCAACACACAAACCAATGAGAACAGAATGAAGAATCTACTTAATAAGAGAGGTTTGTGCCTCCTGGACTATGTGGCAATTGGTCTGGATTTATTTTGTAACGGTATATTACACAAAAGTATTACATTATTGTGAAACTTCAATTCTAACATTTGTTATGAAAATTAGGGCTGTCAAAATTATCGCGTTAACGCACGTTAATACATTTTTTTCATTAATCGCGTTAAAAAAATTAACGCATTTGACGCATGCCCATGCGTCCCATAATAACACTTTGGGGACAGAGCAGGTAGGCCCTCTGGGAATTCAAGTTTTGAAAGAATACACGCGTGACTGCGGGACACTTGTAGTTTCCTGTATGAACTCTGCATGATGAGCTGCGGGCGCGACAGCGCTCTGGACAGCAGGTCCCACTTCCAGCGGCTGTGATCACGGCGAACGGCGCTGCGTAACGGGATCATATCCAAGACCACGCACAGAACTATTACAGAACTATTCTCTCGTGTGCGTACGTGTCTTTGCGTAACCGATGCACACAATATGTACAGCGCAGAAGCTGGACTGCGGAGCCTCAGTCTCCTCCGTGTCTTCTCCCAAAGCGCACTCGCTACATTAAAGCTGAGGTACCTAATTTTCCCTTCCACTACCAGTTCATGTTAGTTGTCGCAAAAAAAGTAATGGTGTGAGCAAATCAAACAGATTTAATGACATTCTGCATTTCAGACTATTTTGAAATGTCCCTCATCTGTAACAAACAATGGTTTTGGTCTGAGTCTAAACAGAAAGACAGAATGTTAATAATGTTAATTCCATTTTATATGGATTTATTGTTATAACAAACAAATACAGTACATATGTTCACTAAGCTGTCATTTATCTTTCCATTCAAACAACAATTTACAGAAAAATATGGCATAATTTTGCCAATAGTTTGAAATGTGATTAATTACGATTAATTAATTTTTAAGCTGTAATTAACTCGATTAAAAAAAATAATCGTTTGACAGCTCTAATGGAAATATATAGTAATGTTTGAACAGAGCAGTAATAGAGCCTCAATTAATAATAATAATAATGATGCAGCGGTTTTATGTAGGACATTCAGAGAGACTTCACATGGCATTATTCTTCCACTCCATACACAGTGATGATAGACAACTGCTGTAGACACAACTGCCCTGGGGCACACACAACCAGTATATGTGCCATCAGCCCCTACGACCAACACCAACCATTCCTGCACACACCAGACTCATTCTAGGCAATGTGGGTGAAGTGCCTTGCCAAAAGACACAACTTAAATTTGGCACTTTACAGCTGCAGCGGGCCTACTGTGGCACCTGGTGTTCCAAGAGGTCTCCCATCACAGTACTAACCAGGCCCTGCCCTGCTTAGCTTCTGAGGTCGAGCAGAATCTTCACTTGCAGGACTCATGAGTGGATGCTATCTGCTATTTCTAACATAATGCACTCAAGAGTCATTGAAATTGATCAAATCCAGTCCACTTTGCAATTGAATTTAGCTCTTTCCAGAACCTCTATCTCAGTAACCGTTCGTCACGCTCACCATTTTGGGCTTAATTATTATTTTTTTGATATGGTCATATGTAAACAGATTTGAGCCATAAATATTTACCAATCAGCTTTCATTCACTAATATACGCTCTAAGGTCCCTCCTTTTCAAAGTGGATAAGGATATTCAACCCTATATTCACACGCATCTGCATTCACACATGTATTTTTTATAAATAATTGGCCTTATTTTTATGTATGAATCGAACTGAAACATTTTAAATCATATTCCAGGCCGTTCCAAAGACAAACACCCCCTGACAGAAACACATATCCATTTTAAAACTAGTTCTCTCATTTGCGATCGGACTCTCCCTGGGTTTGAACTTCTCCCGGATACTGGAATGTGACAGCCATTTTTTGCCTACATCCTTCTCTGACCCATACCCAAGAGCACAGTACAATCTTGAATTTATTTTGCCTCCCCCAACACGCTTGCGTAAATAAAGACAAGTTCTTTTCTTTCATATCGTCCCTGAGGTTCTCACATAATGATAATATCTCGAGTGTTTGCCCTTTCTTGTCAAGGTCCTGAGGGGGACTTGTTCGCTGGTTTCAAAGAAGTGAGTCACTGGAGGCGTTTGAGTGACGATTTTTTACTGGTGTGAAAGAAAGAAAAAAGTGTGAACTCTCCCTGGCACATGTCTTTGATACTTTGGACATACTAATGGAAGGTGATGGTTTTAAGTTGGAAATATAAGTACTCTGTTGGCAATTCATAATATTATCGGTTGCAGTTTATAGTGCATTTTTATAAACTTTTTCATCTGTCGTTTTCTGGTGGAATGACATTGGTTTAAAATGGTTTATTAAAATATAGTGTTGACGGATTTGGCCCAGTTTATTACACAGTTTGGATAATATTGACTTAAACCCATGAAAATATGGTCAACTATAGATGAAATATAGAAATAATATTGAGAAAATGTGTTTGTTTTTTTATTCATGTTGATAAACATTGACTGTATTTTGTGAAATTTCTAGTCTTGTCAAATGTACTAAACATGTCAGATTTATTAAAATTGCAATTGAGATTACAATGATAAACTGTTATTCAGTCCTACTTTTTGCACATATAAAAGGAAAAAATTAAAAATTAAATACAGATGATGTATGTTTTATTTGTCTGTTTATGTCACTTCAAACCTTTATTTATTCATGTATAAATCAAGTCAATCTGAATTCCGAGCATGAATGAGCTTGACACATTACCTACAGTAATATATGTAAATCTTGCATAATAGAAACATGTTCTATCCCTGTTCTTAAACCAGTCCTGTTCGTATGAGACTAATGTTGATCATTTGTCACACACCGCACTTTAACATTTTCGACTGGGTCCAGAACTCTGCTATAATCTGCTTTTATTGCTTCTCTGTAATGACGCGCCCAGAGCCTCAGCCTCAAACCTCCAGAGTGGATCTTTATGGAGCTGGTCGATAATTCACACTGCAGCAATAGTCCACTTTAAACACCAGTAATTAGGTTATTTTTAGATGACTAATATATGGGACGCTCACGCAACAGCGACGGCAGTTAGCAACGGGAACTTCAGAATGGATCCATAAACATGCTACATCCAAAATGTTACTTTACTTGAACAAGAACTAAAACAAGATTACAATAGTTTCTAATAGGGTCACATTCAATTGAATTTACTTTTGTTCTTCCTTGAATCACAACAGCAGTTTTCTCAAGGCAGTTTACAAAATTGTCAATTTGCAAACGGAAAGAAGAATATGAAAGAAGCACACGTTGTGTCTGTGGCATTTCATAAAGCGATGGATGTGGCACCTATTACCGTCGCTGAACAACGTGGCTTTATCCGCAGCTAAAAACACATATACACACAGATACAGATTAGAGTCTGCATTACTTTGCGATACAAGAACTCTTCTGACTGCACACTATAGAGCGTCTGCCTCTGAATTGGAAAAGGTTATTTACTAATTATGTAATCACAGATTTTTTATCTTAAATGTTGCAGAAGCACTTTGTTCCTATATACACTTCCTGCGTTGAGTCGAGTTGAGTTTTAGTCAAAATAATGCATTATGTATTCATTTATTCCATCCATCCATCCATTTTCTTCCCCTTAATCCATTTCTGGGTCGGAGGGGTGGCAGTCAGAGCTGCACCCAGTACACATAGCACCATGCCCCTCACTGATCCTCCTGCAGGTGGTGAGTCCACAGGACCTGAGATCTTTCAGTGGGAGCTTCAGGCAAAGTGGGGTTAAGTGTCTTGCCCAAGGACACAATGGCAGGAGACGTGAAGTACTACGTAGGTCTTGTGGTGGGCTCAAACCCACGACTTCAGGCCCAAAGGCCCCTATGTATTGTTTCACATTTATTTTACAGTTAAATTATATTGTATACAGATAAAAAAATATATCAAGATATATATTTTTGCTCCATGTCACCCAGCCTTAGGGAGCAGGATGACCAATGTCCAAGATTGTTAATAAATGTCCTTCGACCGTCCTGCACCGGCAAGGAACCACTTTTTCTGCACCAAGAGTAAAAATCAGGCGACTCAAGGATTATCTGTTATTGATTGTCATGAGAAAATCCACAGAAGACCATCACACAGAATCTATACCATGTCTTTGGATACAACTTGAAACTTGAAAGTGTGATTCTTGTAATACTGGTTTCCCTCGCACACCGGCCGGGAGAGTGCGTGTGCCGTGTGGAGGTTTTATTATAGCTGCAGGTTCACACAGGAGACTGCTCTCCCAGAGAGAGGGCGTCGCTGGACTCTCTGCTGTACCGTGCAGCAAGCAGGTGAAAGATGTGGTTATATCTGCTCTGAAGAGCTTCTGCTGCTGGAAAACTGACTTCTGTTTCCATTATGGGGGAAAATAAACAAGCATCTATGTCAAGAATCTAGGCATGTCCAAAGTAAAGCCAATGTATTCTTTTTCACATTTACTATGTAAAATTGGGCACTCAGAATTGATGCATATTTCATTCTTATGGATCTTACAAGTGCAATTCTGACCGCTGTGAGTAAGGACGCACCGAGCACCGATACTGGCATCAGGTCAATACCATAGGCTTGTACTCATACCATAGGACCCGATTCCAGCAACCAATACCAAAATTAGCATCACGACAGCATACAGCTGTTGCATGTTGCCATGGTGATCTCCCAAAGTCTGCAGCGAAAAAGCAAGCTATAGAGACGCAAGCTAGCGGCGAGCGGACAAGATGTGGAGAGACAAGAGTAAGCGGACTGTAGTTGTGTAAGGCAAAACTGTCCTGAGGTGAGTCCAAAACAAACACGTAAAACACCAACTTCATCAAACATCTGAAAACTCACCACCACACGGAGTATAGCACCTTTGCTAGCACCGGAGCCATTTCTATGCACCATTTGTATGAGTGAAAAATGTTTAATTGTTAAAACATTTACTTATTGTCAAAATGAGAAAGAAATCATTTTTAATTTCAGTTGTATTAAATTTATGAATTCCCAGGGGTAACATAATGCAGTGATATTTACAGTCTATGTGCAGTACTCGTATCGGTATCAGCAAGTACTCAAATGAAGGTACTTGTATCGATTTTGAAAAAAGTGGTATCGGTGCATCTTAGTAAGTAATTTCTAAACACTGTCCAAGGTATTTTACACAGAAGTGAGCAGTGCTGTATTCTGTCCAGATCCCAGTCCTGTTGTATCTGTGACAATCTCTGCTCCGCCCACACGTCTCTCACTGCAGTACGACTTTTGATGTTTGACATTGACGAAAATAAGTGTCTTCACAAGTGACAGGAGAGGAGAGCTGACCCAATGCAATCACAGCCTCAGTCCTGGATCTACTGCCGAATTCTGTATCTACAACCTGGTCATCAGTGGAAGTTCTTCACTTTTTTCCCCCTCAGAGGGTCTACGGACAATGAGGATTAACATTTGTAAACGGTGATCATCCTGCTCCCTATAGCCACATATATTATAATACAAATATTGCATTTCCTGTGTTCCAACTGTTTGATTCTCTCAAAAATAAATTTAATTGAATTGGGGCGGGTGCAGCTGTAAAGTGCCAAACTGTCATTGTGTGCTTAGGCAAGACACTTCCCCCACCATCATTGTGTCCAGAAGTGCTATATAAAACCGAGGCCTTATTATCTATTGAAATTGGATCTGGATTTTTTTACATTCTTCATAAGTTCTTCTCTTCCTCTACCAAAACATCACCTACATCGCGTCTTGTTATATTCATATCAAAATCTAGCCAAATGTCTCACTTTTCTACCACCAGATGGGAAATAAGGCCACCTCTGAAGGACGAGCACAAAGTGAAGTGCATGTGTCCAGAACATTGAAAGTAAAATGCGTTATAATAACTTCCTGTGGGACGCAGAGGCGCAGCTCTGATGCACTGTGCGAGATCACATCAGAAACTCCAGACGATGACGGATGAGACGGTGAACTAGATTTCTCTAAAGGACGCAGTGAATCATCCATTTCCACGGTCAACACAACAGAAAAGCCAGACTCAAATCAGGCTTTTCACAATCCTTTTATTTGGATTGTGTACAAACCAGTGGGACGCCAGTTTTATCAGAAATGTGAAGTGTAATAGACAAAAAGTGGAGTCGAGAACTTCTATAAAAGTTTGGGGATTACTAAAACAGAAATATATACAATAAAAACATGAGAAAAATGCAGGGAAATGTTGCAACCCAACTGAAGGCTTGTATCTTCAGTCTTTTTGATTATTGATGATTTGAATGCAAGTTTGAAGGCAAGTAAGTAATGTTGACTAATAAAGCACATTTTTTTACAGACCAAGATCACCCAAAGCGCTTTACAATGTTCAGAGTTCAGATATTTTTCCATTCTCTCCACAAAAGGTGATGACGGAAGCGAGATGTCGAACACACTGATACATCAAAGCCTCCAATCAACATCATCCATTCACTCATAACATTCAGATCTATTGTACATGTTTTTAGTGGTAGGGGAAACTGGAGCACCCGGAGGAAACCTACGCAGACAAGGCAAAACCTACGCAGACAAGGCACTTATGTGAACGGTGCTATACAAATGAACTTCTCTGCTACTAATGCTATAAGATTCAATATAGATAAAAATAAATCAATATTGTGCCCAATTAGAATATGTCATTATTGAGGTTAAAATCTATTTTTAGCGCACTCCTCTTTGCAGCCTCCTGTTTAAAGGGGATGTCAGCAACCCTGTTTAACCCTGTTTTAAGTACTGTATATTTCTGAACATGGGACACTATTCTATCCATTCTTTATCTAATTTTTCTTCATTTTTTCCGACTATGAGTTCTAGCATGAACAGTAAGTATTTTTCCATAATAATAGGTTTAAAATGGTCTCTTCCAACTATTCATTTATTTGATATGGACACATTGATATGACTTTGGACAGACCAGATGCACTGCCTTTAGTGTTCTGGCAAGACCATGCTAATTTTCAACACTACGACCAGTAAAAGAATGGCTGGCTCCAAGATGGTGTCAAGACAGAGCAACTTCGCAAGAGCTCTGGGTTTGCACCGTCTGCTTAAAATCACTCAGGGTCTTATGAAAGGTGTTCTGGGACTTGTTGTTCGGCAAAATCACAGCTACAGAAAGGAGAGCTCTAAACAAGTTGCTTAGCTCTGAATGAGGAATCTGAGATGTGAGCTGCATGTTCTGGAGGTTCTTTATAATCCATAATAATCAATGACCCTTCTGGCCACCCTGGAAAAGCCATGTTCCAGCTTCTTCCGTCTGCCTGATATTTTGCCGAGATGAGATTTTGTTATGTTAACTAATAGCTTTTCCCATTCGCCGTCATCAGTTTGAACAAAGCACTTGTAATTGAAACGTTTTTTTTTGTGTGGACTTTTATCACCGTGGCAAATGTTTCTTGTACCTTTTTAGCTAGTTTTATTTATGTGGTGCACACTGGGGAACTTTTGCACATGATTTCCAATGTGTTTTCTACTGCAGATGGCAAATAAACAGAATCTGGGGGAGAACAGTTCAACCAATGACAAGGGGACACAAGGATTTGAATTAATGTCATCCAATCAGGAAGCTGCAGGGGTGAGCGTGGGTGGGTCTAACAAGTGCTGGTCTTCAAAATATGTCACTCTCTCTTCTCAGTTAGAAACATAACTGACATCCACTTAAAGCACAGTGACTCACAGTCTCTTTGTCGTGCAGCTCGGCCTCCAGCTCCTTCACGCGAACGCTCAGCTGGGAGTTCTTCTGCTTCTCCTGATTGGCTTCATTGCACTGGGCTTCGAGATCGGCAATCTGCAAAACAGCGAGAAGAAGAGGAAGGGATAAAGTATTATGAATGTACGCAACACTGTCAGTACAAGAGATGTGGAGGCGTCTTTTGGTCAAAGGACAGAGACGATCTGGACATTTATGGACATTGGTCATCCTACTTCATATGGACCAATGGCTCCTATGTGTTTGTATGTGTTCTTATTGTATTTCCCTTGTTTGAACTCTTTCATTCTCTGATCTGTTGCTGTGGAATTAAAAACTTGGTAAAAGCCTTCCAGACAACTGCTGTTGTGATTTAGGGCTATACAAAAATAACAGAAAAAAATTGAATTGCGGCTGTTGGTGAGGAAACATCATCATTATAACACTTAAAGCTGAGTTACCTTACTTTCAAAGCTCAATACAATTTAACCATGTAAAAAAATTCCGACGTTTCCATTAAAGTTCATGGCCACTACTCAAGACATTCGTTACGATGAGTAAAAAAGGCGAAGTGCTCTTGTCCTCTTTTACTTGCCATAGCTTCACTGTGTACCTTTGTTCCCTGCAAGAGTGGAATGAGATTCAATTCTGTAAGTGAAAGTGAGTCTCCATTAGCATTTTGTAAAGAATTGTGAAAGAATGGGGATAGACAAGTATGTTCTGTTTTTGAAGCTTTTAGAAAGTGGCCTTGGAGAAGTATGTGGTTTATGCCAAAACGAAAAGATACAGGAAGCTAAGTTTAAGCTTCAAATGTTATAATGTGCAAGTTTCTATATGGATTAATACAAGGTACAATTATAGGCCAGCTATTCAGAACACAAATGCAGTATCCATCCTCTTTACTGTGAATGTTCTACTGCCCTTGTGTCCAAAATATTAATTATGCTATGGGAGGAATAATTACTACTGTGGGCTTTTCACACTGCTCTGTGTGTGCATATAGAGCGCAAAAACTCCCGTTAGTATTCATAGTAATCACACCAAGAGTCTAACACAAATCTAATGACCAATCTTTGTGTCACCTCCAGAATTTAAACATTTGTTCATAGGCTTTTGAGGTTTCCAGAAAATAATGTAACAATCTGCGAATAACTAGTTCAATTCTATTTATTTTTGTATAGTCCTAAAGCACAACAGTAGTAATCTCTACTTTACAAGCCGTTGACTCGCCAACAGAGATCCAAGAATAAAACAGTTCCAACTCAGGAAATGCAAAGATAAAAAAACACATGTGTTGATGAAGTCCATACATGTCGTTGAATAACGGGCGTCCTGGATCATCACGAGTCCACCCGAGTGTGATGTCACACTGTGATGAGGACTGGTTTTTCAATTGTTTAAGCTGACATTCAATCTAGTGAATTCTATCTAGTATTAAAACTAGATACTAATTGGAACACTAATTTGTGTGTGTTTTTTTTAATACATTTTAAAATATAGCTGTAGGACTAAAAAAAATACTAGCCTGGAAAAATTGTCACTTAAGTAAATAAGTCATCTTTATTCATATACCGCCTTTTATTTTCTCTTTGGCTTTCAACACTAACAATAACATAAGACTGTGTATTTATTGTTGCCGTTTTTCAGTTGCCTGTAGATCCCCATTTGTAAGCCTAGGCTGGTTTTAAGTACGATAGATAAACCGCTGTTATGTGCACACATCAGAGAAACCCCAGTGTGGCTTCACCTTGGCTCGGAGCGTGTCACTCTCCTCTTTACAGGTCGATAGTTGTTTCTTCCAGCTCTCCACATTTGCCGAGGATTCCTGAAGTGCATCCACCAGCCGAGCATTGTTCTCTCTCAGAGTCTGCAGCTCCGTCTCCCATTTCTTGGCGTTTGTGTTGCTGTGCGATAAGAAAAACTGGTGTTACTGGCATTACAGTCTGTATCATATCTGGGTGCTCTGTATTTTTTGCAATATCTGCAGCTGCTGCTAACAATGGTTTTACTGCTCAATCAATCTTTCTTGTGATTCATATTACAATTTGTTTCAATCATAAACCTGTGCAATTTTGCTTTAAAACTCAGGTAATTTTTCAATTGTTTATGCTGTGAAAAAAAATCACACCACAACATACTCAATTCAATGAATTTGTGTATAGCCCTAAATCACAACAGCAGTCATCTCAGAGGACATTAAAAAGTTGTTGATTCAACAACAACAGATCAGAGAAATACAATCGTATTAGAAAACATGTTATATTTTGCATACCTGTATGAGAGTGAGTCACTATTTGACTCAATGGGCTGAGAGCTATGTAATACAATGTAAAGAATGTTCCTTGCTCTAAAAACAGTTTGGCTCTGTCACTGGTTTTCACATTTCACTTTTTGGTAAAGAGAGCAGCATCCTCACTCAGCCGTTTTTGGTGGTTCAGTACACGCTTCAAATTACCAAAATATATATATTATAGCATCAAACTAACATCTTTGCTGAACCAAGACTATCACCCCCAGCATGACACTGGCTCTGGAGAGCAGCTTCAGCGACAGACTGGTCCACCCTCGCTGGGTAAAGTAGAGGTTCCACAGGTCTTTCCTTCCTGGTGCTGTCAAACTCTCAAACACTGCTGACCTGACCTCACATGTCATGCATCTGTGTAATAACTTGAACTAACATCAGAATGTGCGATATGAAACCACATGTATCCACTGTCACTTTACTTTGTGCCATACCCTCATGCTGCTCACATAGATGTAAACACACAACTGTATATTTCTTGCACTAGAAGACACAGTAATCTATATGTGCGTCTTATGTTAAAGTCAGAGATTTTGTACTTAAGTCTTGCTTCTTCATCATGCTAAAGTTGGAGATTTTAGATTTGCTTCCATGTTATGCTAAAGCTTGAGATTTTATACTTGCTTCTCTTGATCTCTTAATCTTAATCTTTATATTCCCTCCATGTCAAATCAGGCTACATCCACTGGTGATATTTTCTCATGCTGGCATTTCAAAAAGTGCAGTATTTCACCAGCACAACCCACAGCGTCAGTGGAGTCAGACCTGGTTTGTTACAAGAAAACAGTTTACCTTGGATCTGTCATATCGAGTTAGGGTTGTGCTGGGAGTACATTTAGTATTCAGCGTACTTTATGCATGGCTGATCTGAACAGTGCTTCTCTCTGCAGGCTTTTTGGAGCGTTCGTTTGAAGGAGACTGGCTTTGGCAAGGGTTACTTCTCAACCAATTTATTATGATCATCATGATGGACTCTCTCGTGGCCTGAGAGCTTTACCAATGATAGCAGTGGTGTTAAACTGGGGCTTCTCAACACAGAAAAGAAATGGATTATATCACTGTCACAACTTTTAAAACGAATAGATTGTGTTGTTCTGATTCTCTCTTATTTCTTTTACCATAATCATTCAATACTTCATAAATCAAAGAAGAAAAAGATACACATTCTGGAGTGGCCAAGGCAAAGTCCTGATTTTGCAGTGGCATAACCTTAAGACAGTGATTCATTCAGGAATCTGACTGAACTGCACCAGTTTTGTAAAGAGGAATGGTCAAAAATTGATCCTGATTGATGTTCCAGACTGACCAACTCTTACATGTGATGGTTCAGTTACTTATTCCTCCAACATTTGTCATTATTTGTTTACAGACAGCCTTAAAAATATGAAAACATATATGTCTGGGTGTTTTAAATTCAAGCAGAAGCTAGTTTTTCATTTCTGTGATTTTGAGACAGATCCGATCACATTCGATGGTGATTGTACGCAGAAATGTAAGAAATTCCAAAAGATTCAGAAACGTTTTCAGCCCATTGTAATAACATATCAAAACATTTACAGTAGTCAATGACAAAATAATGTAGAATTTGAGGCACATGGAGGATACCTATGTAGACACAGAGAGAACATGCAAAAACCACTCAGAAAAGCCTCGTCTGGAGGTGAAATCAAAAGCCAGGACCTTCTTTCTTTAGAAGCGAGAGTGGTATCTGCTCAGCCGCCGTTATAAGTGAAGTCCATATTAATATAATATCATTGGAAACAGATGTGGTTTTATGTGGCTCTCATTACAGTCTGTTAGTTGCCGCACACTAGCGAACAAACTGCTCCTCTGAACTGAAATGAATTAGACAAGAACACTGTGGTGATTAGAAACACATCTGGATCCACATCTGTCATTTCATTAGCCTCATATTTTCATACAGTCTCCACAGTATGAATAACCAGTCAAACTCTGCATCATGGACGATTCAGACAATGCAAAGTCCCTATGACAGACCTGTAAGGAACATTTTGTGTGTCATCAGATTTTTTATTTCAAATGAGCATGAATTTGAAATTGTGATTGAAATTCCAACATGACATGAACGCCTTCAAAATATTCAATACTTTTATTTTCAAACTCTCAAATTCAATGCACTGTGAATTTTGATTAAATAGATTTGGAAATTTCAATGGACATGAAGTCAACTATTGGAATTTTTTAACAATGAAAAAAACCCTGAATATTTTTGTCTGGGATTTTCAGCCACTGATTATCAATTGTATAGTGAGGAGACCATGACATAGAAATCGATGAATAAAAATGTCCTTAAATGTCCTCATATTGTAAAATAAAAATATAGCTGCAAAAGATCAGCTAACCGAGACGCCTGCTGTTGCGATTTAGGGCTGTACAAAAATATATCAAATTGAATTGAATTGTAAACCACATGGTAATTCTAAAGCCAGTATCATTATGAAATGATGAGTGGTTCAACACAATTCATGAAGAAAAAAAAAAACTTCAAATTGCCTCCTCAAATTGGTTTCAGATATTAAGCGTCTTCATTAAAATCGAAAAATGGACAAAATCACAGCATGTAATAGTTCTTGTGCGATGTTTTCTTTTGAATCAATTTTCTCTCACAGTCGACAAAAAAGTCATTATTTTTGGGTTTCAGTACTTTTATATCAGGTTCAGAATTCTTCAATGGCAATACATAGAATTATTATTCTGGTTATATTTTACTAATTAAAATTAATAACAGGATCAAGATAAAACCACACAAGTAAAGGAAGGAAGAATATTGAACGAAGTGGCATGCTCTCTGCCAAAACAATTTTCGACTGGTAACTTTTGTTTGTTACTTACGTGGCAATACAAATTATTCTGATTCTGATTCTGAACAAATTTCCATTTGGAATTGACGAGTACATTTGTGGTACATTTGTCTGAAATACTCAAGTCTAAGTGTTACGAGCCATAACACTAATTGTGTACAAGGGGCGGTGGCATGGAGTCTATACATCTTTCTTCTTGCTCCTTCATTTTGAGCTAATAGGATTTGTAAATATACTGTACTTGTAAATATAATTGTGAACATGTATGAATGTAACTATTTCTACTTAAATAATTAACATTTACTTTATACTGGAAATATTTAGATAAAAAATAATGAATGAGCGCTTTTTTGGACACTCAAAGACATCCCATTATTCTTTCACTCCATACACGGTGGTGATAAACTACTACAGGCAAAGCGAGGCAACCAGTATGTGCCGTCGTCCTCTACCAACCATTCACAATGACAGTTTGGCACTTTTCAGCCGCAGCCGCCCCACTGTGGCACCTGGTGTTCCCAGAGGTCTCCCATCGCAGCACTAACCAAACCCTCTCCTGCTTAGCTACAGAGGTCTGACTGGATCCAGCTTATACATGCAAGTGGAGCCACAGCTACATCAGATCACAGATTACACCATTCCATTAACAAACAAACAGCAAATTATCTTTGCTGAAAAAACCTTGTGTCTGGAGCTCTGAGACGATTACGATGAGATCAGTGTAAATGTCAACATTATGTCACAGCCTGTAATTAACCCTGTCTTTAAAATGTCATCAATCCCATTATTGCACCGTCAGACCCTTGTCAGATCCAGGGCTGGAAGTGAGAGTGGGCGTCGTGGCCGTACCTCTGCTCCACCGCGGTCTTGAGGCGCTCGTTCTCGGTCTTCAGCACCGCGGCCTCAGGTCCCACGTGGGAGATCTTCTCGTCGTCGGTGCCGTTGATGCTGGAGGGCTGTGTGTTCAGAGGCGTCTCCCGACCCGACTCCCGTCCCGACTCCTGTGGGCGCACAAGAGACCGCAGACGTCAACATTAGGACTATTCATGTCATGGTGTGGGTTTTGTTATTTTGTTCTTTGGTTTTATTTTGACATAATTTCTCTGTGCTTTTGTTTTTTAGTTTGACTTCCTGTCCTGGTCCGTGTCTTGATGGTCTGCCCCGCCCTAATTTGCCTCAACTGTGTCCCTTTGTGTTGCTGGTCCATTGTCTATGTCTGTCTATGTCCATGTTGCTGGTTCTTGTGTTTAATTTTTTTATCTTAGACTTTTTTTTTCATCATTAAATCATCATTATTTTTTAATTCCTGCGTTTATAGCCCTCTCACTTCACCCCAAGACAATTCATCTCTTTCAATTGAACTTAATATTCTCCTGAAAAACCAGTGGATTTCATTGGTCCATTTGATCTTCATTGGTCTCGGGCTGAAGATTTCTTACTAATTGGAAATTTTAATATAAAAAAATGATGACCCGTAAGTATTATAGCAAGTGATTAATCAGCAAAAAAAGTAATTGATTATTGGACTAGCTCGTGGTCTGCACCTCCCTACCAGCCTGGGAGCCTCCTCAGTCCTGGTTCTACAGCCTGAGTTGTGGATCCTGCCCGTCCCAGAGAGCAGAATCCTCTCTCAATGTGACCAAATTTTTATGCAAGACGTTTATGCACATTTATGAACCCGGGTCATGCTGCTCTCAATGGACCAATGGCTCCTTATGTGTTTGTTATCATTCCATTTCCGGTATTCAAACTGTTTTCTTCTCTGGTCTGTTCCTGGCGAACTTTGTAAAGTCTTTCGGGACAACTGCTCTTGTGATATAGGGCTATGAAAATACATTGACATGAATTGAAATTGAAACTTGCTTCCCTTTTCAGAGTTCTCTACTGGAATGAATCCGCTTCCTTCTCTTTACTGCTGGGAGTAGATTCACACTCTGTTCTGCATTGGTGGTACTGACACCCACAGACTCTTACATTACAACGAACCAATAGCTTTTCAAATTTTCTGATTAACCTTCCAACACAATGGAATATAGAGGATAATTTGAAGGCCTAACTAATAATATTATCATGTAGAGAGGCAGGCGGTGAACTCCAGACCACAAATAAAAAATAGAAAAGCCAAGTAAAAAACAGTCACGTCCACCTCTCTTTGACATTGAAACAGCGGTGGCTCGGCTTAAGGTGCCGTCGCTGACAGGGGAGCAGTAGAGCCTGTATTTTGGCTGTCTCTTAGAGAGTGGAGTGGTGCCATCAGGACTCTGTTTGAAAGCCTCCTACAGTTTCATTCACCCTCGGCTGAATTCGGACACTTAGACAGAGGTGTGAGACGCTGTCATGGGGTAGGAGCCTCCGGGCGACTTCTCCCTGCGCTCTGCAAGGTAAAGTTCAGGCCTGGTTCAAATGACGCATCAAAACCATTATGCAAAATGGGTTTTTCACAGACTTTCAACTTGTTAGAGTTGTTTCCCGTGGCATTTACAAACCAACAGTTATATATACACAACATTTCAAGCTTTTTTTTATTTCTGGGTGTCATGGCAACAGATTCACGTGATGTCATCTTCAAATAAAAAGTAAGTTTCACCACTCTTAAACTTGGTGATAATTTCTCATATGTAAAAGTTGCATTCCAAATTGTAAGCATATTCTCAGACGCCTGTATTTCAAGCTGCGGCAACAGCAGTCACCAAACTCCCACTGGGCTGAGGCAGCGTGGAGCGTGTCTACTCCATTAGTCTTCATTGTCAAGAAAATATAACCATTCTCACTCTATGTTCATGATTTCAAAAGGACTGTAATGTCCACAACACAGGAAAGCTCAGACGGCCTCGCACCAAAGTACATCTGTGACATGTTATTACCAACTCGGACTCTGAGCACCAGCAGGAGTCAGAACTATATATGGGGAACCAGGCCCTGCTTAGGCCTCTGCCCTGCTCAGAGGTCTGGCGGGATCTGGCTGTCACATGCAAGTAAGTAAGTAAGTAAGCTATATCTTTGTTTACTGTACATAGATTAGAGTCACAAAGCGCTTGTACAATAGGTCTGGCGCCTCCTTTATGACAATGGTAATGTTTTTAGTGGTAGGGAAACAGGAGCACTCGCTAAGAAGCAACCACTCAGCCACTGCTCTGCCCCACACGTCTGTTTGATTCTCTGACCGGTTATTGGCAAATCAACACCTTTGTAAAGTCCTCCAAGACTGATTTTGGGCCATGCAAAATAAATGGAATATCAAGTACTGAGAATGATATGGCAAGTTTGATTAATCTAATCACTTAAAAGATTTAGACTTATTCAACATGTCTTCTTGCTTGCTTCTTTCCCATAGAGTTGTATTGGCCCTGCCCTCCAAACTGAAATACAATTCTACAACATGGGTTAGCAAATAATTTGAGTTTTTAATGATGACCCTAAATACCGCAAGACTAAAGCCGTTGTATCTGAACTAACAGCAGTGAGACCTGTAGTGCTTTTTCCCCAGTGACGTCGTCTGTTCGGCACAAACGACATGCAGCACTTTATGAGTCTGTAATTAGACTTCTGAAGCCACTAAGTCACAGTTTCTCTGCGTCTTGATGAGAAACGGAGCAACACAGACGCATCTGAATCGTCACCTTCCCCGCTGCGCTGCTAATGTTGTGAAAACTGTAGCACAAGCCATAAACAGAAGATGTGTTTAGACTCAGGAGATAATGAGGAAATCTTCTCCAATGTGGGCAAGCAGCTGCATATGTCACTATCTTGTCATGATGTGGGATGGAGGCTGCGATAGTGTCACACTGTAAAGAGAAATGAGCCAATCCAGTCCACTTTAATTATTTAGCACATTTTATAAAACAAGTTTCCAAAGTGCTGCACAGAGTAACGCATTTCAGTGAACAGGTTTGCTAGTGCTATACAGTGCCTTGCGAAAGTATTCGGCCCCCTTGAACCTTTCAACATTTCGCCACATTTCAGGCTTCAAACATAAAGATATAAAATTTTAATTTTTTGTCATGAATCAACAACAAGTGGGACACAATCGTGAAGTGGAATGAAATTTGTTGGATAATTTAAACTTTTTTAACAAATAAAAAACTGAAAAGTGGGGCGTGCAATATTATTCGGCCCCTTTACTTTCAGTGCAGCAAACTCACTCCAGAAGTTCAGTGAGGATCTTTGAATGATCCAATGTTGTCCTAAATGACTGATGATGATAAATAGAATGCACCCGTGTGTGATCAAGTCTCCGTATAAATGCACCTGCTCTTTGATAGTCTCAGGGTTCTGTTTAAAGCGCAGAGAGAACCATGAAGACAAAGGAACACACCAGGCAGGTCCGAGATACTGTTGTGGAGAAGTTTAAAGCCGGATTTGGATACAAAAAGATTTCCTTTAGCTTTAAACATCTCAAGGAGCACTGTGCAAGCAATTATATTGAAATGGAAGGAGTATCAGACCACTGCAAATTTACCAAGACCCGGCCATCCCTCCAAACTTTCATCTCAAACAAGGAGAAGACTGATCAGAGATGCAGACAAGAGGCCCATGATCACTCTGGATGAACTGCAGATAACTACAGCTGAGGTGGGGATGGTGTGTTCAGGGTGATGAGCTGTGTTGCTTTTACGCCAAACATATCATTTTGCATTGTGGCCAAAAAGTTTGATTTTGGTTTCATCTGACCAGAGCACCTTCTTCCATATGTTTGGTGTGTCTCCCAGGTGGCTTGTGGCAAACTTTAAACAAGACTTTTTATGGATATCTTTGAGAAATGGCCACTCTTCCATAAAGGCCAGATTTGTGCAGTGCACGACTGATTGTTGTCCTATGGACAGACTCTCCCACCTCAGCTGTAGTTATCTGCAGTTCGTCCAGAGTGATCATGGGCCTCTTGACTGCATCTCTGATCAGTCTTCTCCTTGTTTGGGATGAAAGTTTGGAGGGATGGCCGGGTCTTGGTAGATTTGCAGTGGTCTGATACTCCTTCCATTTCAATATAATTGCTTGCACAGTGCTCCTTGAGATGTTTAAAGCTTGGGAAATCTTTTTGTATCCAAATCCGGCTTTAAACTTCTCCACAACAGTATCTCGGACCTGCCTGGTGTGTTCCTTTGTCTTCATGGTTCTCTCTGCGCTTTAAACAGAACCCTGAGACTATCAAAGAGCAGGTGCATTTATACGGAGACTCGATCACACAAAGGTGCATTCTATTTATCATCATCAGTCATTTAGGACAACATTGGATCATTCAAAGATCCTCACTGAACTTCTGGACTGAGTTTGCTGCACTGAAAGTAAAGGGGCCGAATAATATTGCATGCCCCACTTTTCAGTTTTTTATTTGTTAAAAAAGTTTAAATTATCCAATAAATTTCGTTCCACTTCACGATTGTGTCCCACTTGTTGTTGATTCATGACAAAAAATTAAAAATGTACATCTTTATGTTTGAAGACTGAAATGTGGCAAAATGTTGAAAGGTTCAAGGGGGCCGAATACTTTCGCAAGGCACTGTATGTATATATCAAAAGTTAAATAATTATGATGCATGAAGTAAAAACAATAAAGAAAAAGAAAAAAAATACCAGTTCAACTCAATCAACTCAAACATTGAACATTAGAACTCCTTGTTTTGAAAATAATAATTACTAATCTATCACTCAGCTCATGTACATTTGTGGTCTTCATAACATTGTGACTGTTTCTATATGTAGATTATTTCTATGTCATTATTTTTATCAAATGTAGTCATTTTTGGTCGCTTGGCAACCAACATTCCTTGGCAGTAAAAGCCCCTCTTCTCCAGGTGCTGGTTCTGGTTTTGGACTGACCCTGGACTGGTTCTAAGTGACTTTTTTAGTGATGGTTACCATAGCAACACACAATTTACTTAAAGCGGTTTGCATTTAGTAGCCTTTCAACAAATTGTTTTATGTATTTCAATTTAAAACAACCAGTTAGGGTTAGAGTTAGATTATTTTTTTGGGAACGGTCAAAGTTACAGTTCTGAGAGTTGTGAGAATTCTGGGAGTGCAAGTGTTGAAGAGGATGTATTTCATTTAAAAAACATTACTCTATGATGATGTAGATGTTAACTCCCATCAGAACTAATTTCATCACTGCTGAAAACCCACCTGCCTCGACCTGACAGTTTGTTTTAGCTTATCAATGGGTGAACAAAAAACACTAGAAATGTGATGCATTGTAATTATAATATCATTATGTGGATATAAAATCTGGAACAGTCTTTCTGAAACGACTGTTCAGAAAGACTGTTCCAGACTGTTCCAGGGGGACTCTGGAACAGAGTCCCCCTGGACTGCCACCTTAACGTGGTGGGGGAGTTTGAGTACTCGGATGATCCTGGGAGCTATGCTGTCTGGGGCTTCATGCCCCTGGTAGGGTCTCCCATGGCAGACAGGTCTCAGGTGACGAGTCAGACAAAGAGCGGTCCAAAGACACCATGGACAGCACTAAAAAAAAAACAGTGACGTCGCCCGGCGTGGCGCAGCCGGGGCCCCACCCTGGAGCCAGGCCTGGGGTCGGGGCTCGTATGCGAGCGCCTGGTGGCCGGGCCTTAGCCCACGGGGCCCGGCCGGGCTCAGCCCAAAAGGACGACGTGGGCAGTCCCTCCTGTGGGCCCACCACCTGCAGAGGGGTTCGTGGTGGCAAAACGTTGCTGAGAGGACTGGGCAGCAGCCGAAGGTGGAGACCTTGGCGACCCAGTCCGCACACACAACATCTGGCTCTTGGGACGTGGAACGTCACCTCGCTGGGGGGGAAGGAGCCAGAGCTCGTGGGGGAGGTCGAGCGATACCGACTAGAGATTGTCGGCCTCACCTCCACACACACAGCTTGGGCTCTGGAACCCAACTCCTTGAGAGGGGTTGGACGCTCCACTTTTCTGGTGTCTCTCGCGGGGAGAGGCGGCGAGCTGGGGTGGCCATACTCATTGCCCCCCATCTCAGCCGCCACGTGTTGGAGTTCTCCCCGGTGAATGAGAGGGTCGCGTTCCTCCGCCTTCGGGTGGGGGACAAGTCTCTCACGGTTGTGACGGCCTACGGGCCTAACAGCAGTGTAGAGTACCCGGCCTTCTTGGAGTCCTTGGGAGGTGTACTGGACGGTGCACCGCCCGGGGACTCCGTTATTCTCCTTGGGGACTTCAACGCCCATGTGGGAAATGCCAGTGACACTTGGAGAGGGGTGGTAGGGAAGAACGGCCCCGTTGATCTGAACCCGAGCGGTGTTCAGTTGTTGGACTTCTGTGCTAGTCACAGTTTGTCCATCACGAACACCATGCTCGAGCACAAGGGTGTCCACCAGTGCACGTGGCACCAGGACACCCTAGGCCGGAGGTCGATGATCGACTTTGTTGTTGTATCATCTGACCTTCGACCGCGTGTCTCGGACACTCGGGTGAAGAGAGGGGCGGAGCTGTCAACCGATCACCACCTGGTTGTGAGTTGGATCCGCTGGCAGGGGAGGAAGCCGGTCAGACCTGGCAGGCCCAAGCGTGTAGTGAGGGTCTGCTGGGAACGTCTCGCTGAGCCCCCTGTCAGACGGACTTTCAACTCACACCTCCGGGAGAGCTTCTCCCAGGTCCCGGCAGAGGAGGGGGACATTGAGTCTGAGTGGACCATGTTCTCTTCCTCTATCGGCTCGTAGCTGTGGTCGCAAGGTCTCTGGTGCTGGTCCCGGTGGCAACCCCCGAACCCGGTGGTGGACACCGGCAGTAAGGGATGCCGTCAGGCTGAAGAAGGAGTCCTATCGAGCCATGATGGTTCGGGGGACTCCTGAGGCAGCTGTCCAGTACCGGCAGGCCAAGCGCGCCGCGGCCCGGGCTGTTGCAGAGGCAAAAACCCGGGTCTGGGAGGAGTTTGTAGACTCCATGGAGCAGGACTATCGGTCGGCCTCAAAGAGATTCTGGCAAACCGTCCGGCGCCTCAGGAGGGGGAAGCAGTGCTTTGCCAACACCGTGTACGGTGCGGGTGGAGAGCTGCTGACCTCGACTGGGGATATTGTCGGGCGGTGGAAGGAATACTTCGAGGTTCTCCTCAACCCCCCCGTCACGTCCTCCGTCCCGGAGACAGAGGCTGAAGATGTTGGGGCGGATACTTCCATCTCCCTGGCGGAGGTCACCAAGGTGGTTGGCAGCCTCCTTGGTGGCAGGGCGCCGGGAGTGGATGAGATCCGTCTTGACTATCTAAAGTCTCTGGATGTTGTAGGACTGTCTTGGCTGACATGTCTCTGCAACATCGCGTGGCGATCGGGGGCGGTGCCGATGGAGTGGCAGACCGGGGTGGTGGTCCCTCTCTATAAGAAGGGGGACCGGAGGGTGTGTTCCAATTATCATGGGATCACACTCCTCAGCCTCCCTGGTAAGGTTTACTCCAAGGTACTGGAGAGGAGGCTACGGCCAATGGTCGAATCTCGGATTCAGGAGGAGCAGTGTGGTTTTCGTCCCGGCCGCGGAACACTGGACCAGCTCTATACTCTCCATCGGATACTCGAGGGTTCATGGGAGTTCGCCCAACCTGTCCAAATGTGCTTTGTGGATTTGGAGAAGGCGTTCGACCGTGTTCCCCGGGGTGTTCTTGGGGGGGTTCTCCGGGAGTACGGGGTCCGGGGTCCTCTGCTGAGGGCTGTTCGGTCCCTGTATGACCGGAGCCAGAGCTGTGTTCGCATTGCCGGCAGTAAGTCAGACCTGTTCCCGGTGCATGTTGGCCTCCGCCAGGGCTGCCCTTTGTCACCGGTTCTGTTCACTGTATTCATGGACAGAATTTCTAGGCGCAGCCAGGGGCCCGGAGGGGGTCCGGTTCGGGGACCACAGGATTTCATCTTTGCTGTTTGCGGACAATGTTGTCCTGTTGGCTCCAACGAGCCAGGACCTGCAGCATGCAGTGGAACGGTTTGCAGCCGAGTGTGAAGCGGCTGGGATGAGAATCAGCTCCTCCAAATCCGAGGCCATGGTGCTCGACCGGAAAAAGGTGCCTTGCCCTCTACAGGTGGGTGGAGAGGTCCTTCCTCAAGTGGAGGAGTTCAAGTATCTCGGGGTCTTGTTCACGAGTGAGGGAAGGATGGAGCGTGAGATTGACAGGCGGATCGGTGCAGCGTGCGCAGTGATGCGGTCGCTGTATCGGACCGTTGTGGTAAAGAGGGAGCTGAGCCGAAAGGCAAAGCTCTCAATTTACCGGTCAATCTTCGTTCCCTCCCTCACCTATGGTCATGAACTTTGGGTAATGACCGAAAGAACGAGATCGCGGATACAAGCGGTCGAAATGAGCTTCCTCCGCAGAGTGGCTGGGCGCTCCCTTAGAGATAGGGTGAGGAGCTCAGTCACACGGGAGGAGCTCGGAGTAGAGCCACTGCTACTCCACGTCGAGAGGAACCAGTTGAGGTGGCTCGGGCATCCCTCTTGGACGCCTCCCTGGGGAGGTGTTCCGGGCACGTCCCACCGGGAGGAGGCCCCGGGGAAGACCCAGGACACGCTGGAGGGACTATGTCTCTCAGCTGGCCTGGGAACGCCTTGGGGTCCCCCCGGATGAGCTGGAGGAAGTGTGTGTGGATAGGGAAGTCTGGGCGTCTCTGCTTAGACTGCTGCCCCCGCGACCCGGCAACGGATGAAGCGGAAGAAAACGGACGGACGGACGGATATAAAATCTGGAACAGTCTTTCTGAAAACGTGACACAGGCTTCTACTCTGACAATTTTCAAATCCAGCTTAATAAAGGTTTGTATCTTTACTATTTTTAATGTACTGTGATTTCTTATGATGTCAATGGCTTGTGTGATTGTTTAGTTTTGTTCCGCCCTTGCCTTGCCATACACATAGCTGTATATATCTATGTATGTATATTATTATTATATATTTTGTCTTTATCATCGTTTTTATGGTAAAAACAAAAAGCTGGATATATTGTTATAAATTGCATATGGCTGAATACAAATCTAACATACCTGTGAGTGATTGCTCATCGTCTCCCCGGCCTCTTGAGATTTGTCCCGGGCGAGTTTGGCGGCTTCTTTTACCTCCTGAAATTTCTCTGCAAACTGAAAAAAGTGAAAAAGAGAGGAATTTACAAGAGAACATTGCGCCTGTAAAATTAATTATGTGATAAGTGTGGCAGAGGATTAAGAGTTTCAATGGATTGGCATTTGCACAAAATTCTAGTCTGATTGCTACAGATTAGCACAGGCAACAGAAAAATAAGAGATAAGCGTTAGATTGGAACGCTGTAAAAATACATTTAAGATCCGAACTGTCTAAAGCTACACTACAACCAGGAAACAAACATGTATGTATTTAGAGACAGTGGAGAATGGGGGCTTGTGGTAAATTAAATTGTAATTTCTGTCTGATAATGCATAGTCATGTATCCATCTGCTTTTAATGTACTGTATCACAACAAACTGCTCACGGACTGCAGGTGTAAATTAGCACTGCCATGTTTAGTTTTAAGCCAAATCTCTTTTCTTTGTAAGTATAATAATTAGGAATGGGTAGATAGTTGTTTTTTTACATAGTTCAGTAGTACCCTAATATTACCGATATTTGCGGTATTCAAACAAACTTGGTACAGTGTGCACTTTTTTGGTCATGAATAATACCCGTTGTTTGTCTCAAGAGAAAACAAAAACAGATCCAATAAGATAAAGTTATGTTATCATTAAGTTAACTTTTTAAAAAACTTTGCATCTAGAAATAGCCCTGTGAGTCACTGTTTGACACTTTGGGCTGAGAGCTGATTGGCTGAGTGAGAGTGGTCTCTTTTCACTTTTCATTCTGAAAAAGCTGCTGTGACAGTACATACACAAGTACATGGAAAAGTTCATACAAAAGTTGATGCATGTGAAAACTAGTGATGGTGAGAGACATGGATTTTATTACATATAATATTATATGAAAGTTAGATACCCAAGATTTAATTTATTGAGAAAGGATCATCTGGTCTTTCATGTAATACTAAAGATATCACTCTCTCTCTCTGCAAAAACAGACTAAGACTCTGATATTGATCCCTTGACTGTGGTCTGGCCCTGATGAAATATGATAATGACTACGATTGACAGATATAAGATTAATTAATATTAAGATTAGGATTAAGTCCCTAAATGGGGAAATTGCATTACAAATTACAGAACAGTAGGAATGAGGAGCACACAAAACAACACAAAAAGCAAGAAAAGTAGGAAGGAGGGAGAGACAGCGATATAACAGCCGGCTCCCACGGTATACTTCCGGTAAAAACCAAAACCGAATATATGAAAAAGAAAGTATAGACTATGCCTAATGTGTGAGAGGGTGAGATCCTGGACACTGCCCTGACCTTGGACAGCTGCTGCTCCGAGGCAAAGCCCAGTCCAAACACAGTGTTGGCTCGACTGTCCGCCCACTGCCCGAACTTCTGCGAAGTCTTTGTGAACGTCATGTTGGGAGTGATAGTGCTGTTGATGATCACCTGCAGAGAGGGAAAAAGGAGAGAGGTGCTTTGAAAACACACATAGAACAGACTTCATGCAGTGTTTGGCGAAAGGAGGTTAAAGTGCTAGTGCTTAGCTGTATCAGAGGTGCGAAAAACTGAAAACATGACAAGAATACAAACATGTTTAGGAGGACCAAGACTTGGCTTAATAACATACTTTTTAGATCAACCAAAAACCCACACTGCACTTTAATACGGACTTGATGGACAATGCTAACTCACAAGCTCAATTAAGCCTAATAGGGAAGTGTTCATGGATGAAGTTCATGCTCCTACACACATTGGCTCCTATTGACAAACATTGAGAAGTCAACTTAGCGCTCTCTGTGAACCTGGGCTTTTAATTTTGATATTGTCTTTGTAAGTCCAGATATGAGTAACAGTATGTAAGAATTGACCACTCAGATGCCTTCATTCGCTGGGAAACTACAGCTTGCCTTAGCAACCACCAGAGCAATACGTCCACCCCTGTTCCGACGCAAAGCTGACACCCTCGGCACAAATGTCCATATAAAGAAATTGGCTCCAGTCCACTCCTAATATATATAGTCCATGGTAATCGTATACAAAATGGCAGGAGAAATCAACCAAGACTCCACTCTGCGACAAATCTTTTTTATCTTTTACATGCCTTCTATTGAATTTTGCATAGGTTTTTTTTTTCTAGGAACTGTATTGAAGTCATCACTGTGAAATTAAAATTGGTCTTGAGAATGCTATAAACTAAATTGAGTTTGCAATGTGACAAATCTACTTCACATATGTTTTGCATCTTTAACCCTTTGTTATTATTCAAGATGTATTATTCCACTGTTTTCCTGTTTGTGCTTAATGCTAAATTCATTTTAACGTTGTTTGCATCAAAAATACTGTAAAAAATATAATGTGGAAATTCTGCTACCCCCATTTCTTTTTTACTTAATTAATTCATACTTTATTTTGAGCCACAGAAAACAAGAACAAAGAACAACAACAAAATAGAATAAGAAAGATGATAATATCCAAATATACCGTATGTTTTGTTTTATTAACAAAAATCCAGCTTGAAAAGGAGTGGGAAGAAGTTAAGACTTTTAAACTCCCAAACCCCATTTACTATTCTACATGAACTTAACTTAATAATGCTTCAACAATATTGGAATCTATAACAATACTCATAATAAATAGTATTTATAATGCAGCTTACATTTTCATGAAAACCTTAAAGTGCCACAGATTCAAAATAATAATAATTAAAAAAAACAATACTAAAATAAATAAAGTAGATCAAAATCTGTAAATCTCTTGTTGACTCAATGTTAAGGACATGTCTGAAAGGTTTTATAAGTGACTGAAACCTCCTTCGTCTGAGCACACACCATGTTTGTGCTCTCCTGTATTTACACGGCATGTATTGGTTCTAATTGTCTATAATTTCAACATGATTCTAAAGAGTTCTGGCGTGTAGTTGATCTACTGCTCGACCTGTCTAAATTTACTGTAGACGTTTCGATTGGCCAGCGCTAAAGCTTCATATTTAGACCGTGGCAAATGTTGAAGCAGCACATGCTCTGAATAGTTACAACAGGTGACGTCCTGCAGCAGAGACATGACAGGTCAGGTCAGTGGGCCACTCTCTGCACACGATTATACACAAGAGAATTCTGACGGTGATTTGTTGTTTTTAAATGATGCATTGGATGATAATGTTGGCCAAGGATGAGCAAACAATTAAAAAATAATAATAATAAATCGGTTTTATGTAGCTCTTCTCTAGACACCCAAAGACACAGCCATTAGTCTTTCACTCCATGGGTGGTGATATTACAACTGTAGCCACAGCTGCCCTGGGACACACGGACAAAAGCGAGGCAGCCATTATGTGCCATCTGCCCTGACGACTACCACCAACCATTCACACACCAGACTCCTTCTAGTCAATGTGGGTGAAGTGTCTTGCCTAAGGACCAAACAATGTCACACAGTGTGAGGGGTCCTCTGGGTGCTCCAGTTTCCCCTACCACTAAAAACATGTACAAACGGTCTGGCGTGCGTCTCCTGTACGGCGAGCTCACTCCCATCTCTGTGTGGAGTGAGAGATAAATGCCCACAACAATTGTAAAAGGCTTTATGACTCTGCTCATAACTTAACAACAGTTTGGCACTTTACAGCCACAGCCGCCCCACTGTGACACCTGGTTCGACAGGGTCAGGCTTTCATCTGCAGGTGGCGCCACAGTTTGGCACTAGGTTTTGTTGATAAAACAGTTTTCTAATTGCTTTATTGTAATAAAATTGTTATTGCAATTTGAATGAAATAGCAGATCACAAGGACAGCAATAGTCGGGTAAAGCAATCCTTTCTTCGTCTCTTTATTTTCAAACACGCAGGTAAATTGAAAATACCTGCATTCATTAGTTTGTCCATTTTCCAGCCTCTATTGTTATGTTGTACTTTGCATCATCAAAACAAAGCTGCTCCGGACGTCTTAAAGGGCATTCTGTGTTTGTCTTTATCTCTTTGGTTAAATATTAAACAGCCCTCATTGCTTTTCGCCCAAAGTCCTACAATAACATGAATCTTTGATGAGCTCAGAAGAGTATCTTTGTTATATCTGCGCAGTAGACAGCAGAGGAGCGAGGTGACAAGTCTGGCAATAAAAAACAGCTAGAAGTCTACACAGCTTTTGAGATGGTATTGAGCTAGACTGTCTCCTGGGTCATCAGTTGTGGTTTACGTGAACAGTGCAGGGAAAGGAAATGCAGTCAAATTCACAGGGGTTCAAGTGATTCAAGCGCAATTCAATTCAAAATTATGTTTGTTTAGCGCTAAATCACAAAAGTAGTCATCTCGGAGGACTTCACAGAGTTGTCGATTCGCGAACACAGATCAGAGAATCAAACCGTTCAGAAAATGCAATGATAAAAAAAAACATGGTGGGAGACCATATGCCAAAAATGTTAATAAAAGCTGTTGTTATAGCAAAGTTTATGGACAAAATAGATTGATAAAATGAGTCCTGACATAAAAGCTAACAGTTAAGTATGCTAACGTGACTTAATGTCTCAGAGTTTCTTGTGTTATTTACAAAGCTTACTTATTTTTTGTTCAGAGAGCAATATTCAAAACAAGTAATCATTTGTTCAAAATACTGTACCTACATTATGGGATCAAGTAAATATGCAAAAATAACCACATTTGCAAAAGATGAGCTAAAAACAAACTAAAGCACTGTACTATTCCCCCCAATATTCCTAAAAGACATTACAAAACTCGCACATTAGCACTATCTACAAATCCTGTTTATTTGCATCTTCCACAACAACAACTACATCTCTAAAAAAGGCCTTCAATGTTGTTGCTGATTATAGTTATTGATATTGAATGCTTTCATTGCAGACATTTTTATCATTTCTCCGTCTAATCTCTTCTGTGTCATCAGCAATAATGACAGTCTTTTTGAAGAATGTCGGAAGGACGGCAGATCTGAGCGGACTGATGCAGGTGATGCAGGGACCAGCTCCGAGGCCTGGTGCGAGAGTGGGCTGAGAGAACGCCTCCACAAGCATGACTAAGTGACAGGCTGGTGGGAGCTCGGAGGGAGAGAGAGAGAGAATCCCACTGACAGTCTCAGATGAATGCTGGGTGCATTCACACTTTGGGTCAGTTGGGGAAGAAACACTTCAAAAATCAGATTCACAAGATAGTTGTAAGTGATACACATGATATTGGCCAAATATCTAATTGTTATTTCTGACCAACATTAAAATGATGAGATTTTTTTTTAAGCATTTGAAAAAAAAAAAAAAAAACTATGGTATATAATAGTTTATATATAGCTGGCGGAAAGTGTTAGCAGTCTCACTTCTCAGCTCCTGGATTTCAGTTTAAGTTTAATTTATTAATGAAAATGTGCAGATGCATTAAAAAGATGGCAGTACTAGTAGCACCGTGCTACTTTACATCTGCAGTCCTTGACAATACGTAAGGGATAATGTGCATGTGCATTAAGAATGCATATGTATAATAATGTACACTGTCTGACACCTGAATTACAAGCACAAATTGCGTTGCCATTGGCAGCGGCCATTATAGGTTTGAGAGGTGTTGTGGAAATTTCCTTAATGATCCATGGAAACAGAGTTGCATTTTGTGTGGTTTAATGAAAGTAAAAAGTACATGATAAGAACAAGCATTTGCAAATGGAGAAAGCTTCTGCAGTCCGCTCCTCGGACCCTGCATCAGTCTCTCTGACACACAATGGGATTCACACAAGCTTTATCAGGATGGTCCGGTCCCTCATTGGCCAATGGCCACATGATAAACACATGTCACATCTCTGCACTGATTACTTCAAAATCGGTAACTCATGGTAGGAAGAGCAGAGAAACAAGGGGGTTAAGGGCAGGGGCAGAGGACACAGGAACAGGACATTCCAAGTTCACATCATCCACATGATCAGGGAGAGTCACATCAAAGGAGATGGTCAATCACTGTCTAATAACTAAACCCACAAACTGTAAGTAAGTAATCTTTATTGATATACCGCCTTTTCACTGCACATCGGAGTCTCAAAGCGGTTTACAATTGTGATTTTTGGGATTGGGGGGGCCAGTACAGGAGGCACATGCCAGACCTATTGTACATATTTTTAGTGGTAGGGGAAACCGGAGCACCCGGAGGAAACCTACGCAGACACGGGGAGAACATGCAAACTCCACTCAGAAAGGCCCTGGTCCAACCGGTATTCGAACCCAGGACCTTCTTGCTGAGAGGCGAGAGTGCTATCCACTCAGCCACCGTGCCGCCCTGCATCTTAACTTACTCAAACATCGTCCCAAATACCTTCCTGCCATAAAACAAATCCCTCTGAACCATTTATTAACCATCACAATTCACCCACTATGCTTAAACCATTCATGTAATGTTTGCCATTACAGACGTCCGTTATCAAGAAATGATGCCCGGAAGAAAGTTTTGAATTGACATTCACATCA